TAAAGGATTTATGAGCAATTGCTTCTGCAGGAAACAGCTGCCTGAGGGTGGTGGTCCATGTGGCTGGATGTTTGGCCAACAGTAGGGAAGGCCATGCATAATCCTTTGTTCTCACTCAGCACATCTAGTACCCCTGATTTTCTGCTCTCTGGGGTTAGTTTCTTGCCTGGACTAGGCACATTAGATGTCCAAAAAGTGCTATCTGAATAAATAAATGCAAATTAATAAGCTGACTGTTCATGGTATGACCATTTACTTCATGTAACATTTAACGCTAACTTCTCCATTCTTCTCTTAGGGAAACTAACATGTTAAACAGATTTTTTTATGCTGCCAATTCTCCACCATTCACATTAATTCAGTAAATACCTGCTATTGAGAGGCCAAAGATGACATATGTAATCCACTGCAGGGCATTAAAAAACAATAAAGCCCCGCTTATTATATTCAGCTATGGAATACATGATACCTTTCAGGTAGCAATGAACTTTGTGGCTTTGTTTACATTAATTTTCTATTTTGCATCCCCCGAACACTTACTTACTAAGCAGTCATGGTAGGCAGACTGGGTAAGGGTCCTGTGAAGCCACGCTAGAATTAGGGCTGGAGGAAAAGAGGCTGAAATTGGGAGCATGATATAGGGAAAGAACACAGGGCTGTGAAGTCAGACAGGCTATGATTCCTGACCCTGTCATTAGCTAGGAAACCTTACAAACCTCAATTTCATCAGCTACCCAATGCAGATGATCAGCATTTGTCATTGCTTTCCTACAGGTGGTTAAGAGCTCCTAGGAAGTACCTTGTACCGCTTAAGTCACATACACTAAGCACCCAACACAGAGTCTGATGCAAACCAGGCTCTCAATGAACATTAGAGCTCTCCCCTCACTTTCTTCCAGCCTGAACTCCAAGACAGCCCCCGTAGGCTATGAGAGCTTGGAAGGGTGAGAGGGATCCAAACATGGCTGGTTTGAGACTGGTTGTCTCCTACACACGTTATCTTTTCTCTCCTCCCTGCCTGCCAAAGGCAAACAAAGAAATGATAACAGGCATAGCCACCGAACCAAAACAGGTCACAGGAAGAAGATAATGCACTCAAGGACAAACAAAAGTCAACTGTAGGTGGGCCCAGAACGGGCAAGTAAAAATTCTAGGAGAGTAGAGAAGGTATTTCCTATTTTATAGGACTTTTAAAATATTATCGCCAATGTGAAAACACGCAAACGCCTCAATGCGTGTAGCTTTAATGCAGTCTTTGCTTTAGGTGGGAACTTCACCAGTTATGGAGGCAAGCTTTTGAAAAAGTGCTTTAAAATTGAGTATGAGTTGATGATGTCCAGGCAAATTGGTTTGGCCTGTTAAATGAGGCCACCAGAATACTAAACTGTTCTTACAATGGCTGGATAGGCAAGACTGTGTGTGCACATGGACGAGACTGGAGGAAACATACTTGGGAAACAAAAACAGCTGCTTTACAGGATGGTTGAATCTGCCTTGCCCAGTTAAAATCTAATGGATGCTTAGTATTTGTCCAGAGAGTGAGAAGACTTGATTTTCCACACATTGTAACTGAGTATTTATCTCCCTTTGTTAGCCAATCATTCAGAGATAATGCTGCCTCTTTTTGACATTATTTTGTTGTTCTGCTTCTTTTTCCCCTTCATCTAATGCAATTCTATCTCCACCAAAGAAACCGGCATAAACAAAAAAAGGTTGCAGAATCTAAGAAAATGGGCTTCAGTAGACAGAAATGATAAAAGGTCACTCCTGCACTTCTGATCTCTAAAGCCAGAAGTTTTTGTACATAAGCAGGAGACCTGATTTGTATTCATTAATCAGCCAACTTGTCCTTGGAGAATATAACCCCTCAGGGTCTCAGCTGACAGATCTGTGAATGGGGTTTAACAGGACCTCCTGCAGGCCTTTCAGTTACTTTAAATGGTAAATGGCAAGATACAGAACTGCTGGGTCAATTGAGACAAATGAGCCCTGCAAAGAATTAATATTTGAAAACTTTTATTTTCTCAAATGAGCACCAACACAGATTGGAAGTATGACAGAAACAATGCACTTTTCTCTAATACTGAATCACTATGTACAAATACAGGAAAAGGTGAAGACAAATTATTTGAAAAAAAAAATCATCTTTGTTATTGAAGCAAAGTGACCTGGAAATGCCACTAAAAAAAAAAAAGATAAAAGAAAAACAAAACCCAAACCCAACAAATACAGTTTGTAAACACAGGCATAAATAGACAGATTCTGTACTGAAAGATAGTCTCTGCAGGTTGGAAAAGGTAACTGACTCACTGACTTTCACCAAAATGTTATAGAGAAACACACGGCAGATAGAATTTGGTAATATGAGAACAGCTTGTTTCTTCTTGGCTTTACCTTTCACTGCTGGCAGAATTTCATGACTGTATTTTTATTTTGAATACTAAATATCTCTTTCCTCTACCTAGACCACTAGCATGTTTTCTCGTTCGAGACAGACTCTTTTTTAAAATATGTAAGTTGACTGTGTTCAAGATTTGATTTCCCAGCCTCTTCCTGAACCTGAGGCAATCTGACCTTAAAAAAAAACTTTTAAAAAAAGCTGTTTACCTACAAGGTATGTGTATCATGTTGACATTCCTTCAACCCAGACCAACTTTACATTTAACATGATGTGGATGGTGTGGCTTCCACGATGAGAGCCCTGGATCCATGATGAGTACACTCACATCTCAGTGAGAAACACAAACAACTAACTTCCTTACAGTCTGTAAAAGCTGAGCACACAAAGAGAGACAAAGGGGCCAACAGGCAACAGCTCCATGCTCGGGAACACAAAATCCTCGAGGTCTGTGCTGCTGGTCCACTCAGAAACAACCACCAGAGTGAAAGAGAAGAAAAATCTTATGTGCCCAAGGTGTAAACTGTAGGTATAGTGTCCCCAGTTAAAAATGAAAACAGGAGGCACAATTCAAAGTGCTTACACACACACACAGACACACAGACACATACTTAAAAACAAGACTCCCATCTGTTGGAAATTCTTCCAACAAGAGGAATCACTCTAAGTTGATAAATTTATTTGATTTTATTTATTTTCTTTTCTAGCCAATAATGGGCCAAGAAAATATTTTAATTCTCAATCTGGTAATGTACTGCAGAGTCTGTTCCACTGGGGAAAAAAATGCAGAGAGGCACTGCTTTATTGCCTCCGTCCAGACTAAAGTGATGGAGATCTTTTTTTAAAAAAAAAAGAGTGTATTGGTGATCAATCACTGTTTCCCTTAAAATATACTTCAAGAAATGCTGAGGAAACCACAGAATTTAAAAATGAAAATAAAAAGTGCTCTCAGGGGATCTGAGAAGACAGCACCAAATATATTATTTAAAAAATTAAATATTATTTACAAAAGTATATTTCACAAGCAACTGTTTCTTATATATCCACTTGCAAATCTTTTTGTAAAGGGGATACCTCTCTTTCACACACTGATCCACCAGTAAAGATACACTCCATCCTACCTCCAGGATCTTACTGTCATAGGAGTTGGGGGAGCACTCAATCAGGCCCAGCTGACAATCTGCAGACACCAAGCTCGGCTGTGATTCGTGTTATGTCCAGTCAACCCATCAGCAGCCTGAGACTAATATCCCGGGGCGCGGGGCTGGTTGTAACTCTGGGCCGCCAAGGCCATGTGACCCGGGGTGGCACAGGGGAGATGGAACGAGAGTTTGACGGCTGGACTTCAGTTGAAAATGAAGGCAGCTGCTGGCTGAGGTATAGAACTTCATGCCTTTCCCTTCCCCACGTCACCCTCTCCCCTTCCCTACTCCCCGCACCCCACCCAAGCTTTCCCATTGAACTCCAATTCCCCGAACCGACCAGGGGTGAATGGACGAGGTCTTTGGTTATGCTCTGAGTCGATAATTTGGTGAGGAAATTAAAAAATGAACTGACTGAGGCCTTGAGTTGATGCATCTCCATCTCTCCAATACTACTGGATGTTAGACAGACAAGCCAGGAATGGAGCTAAAGTTATAAGAAGCACTTTTGGTTTCATTGACACAAAGGGAAAGCCTAATGAGTTTTTTTTTTTTTCTTTCTTTCTTTCTTTTTTTTTAAATTCCCCTGTAGTTGCAGAAAAACCAACATTCTGCTCAGATCTCTCGCACCAAGTAGGGTGCCCTGCACCCACTGGCTACTCAATGGATAGTAACTGACAAAACACCAGAACCAGGGTCTGCTCTGATCCATGCAACAGGCAGAGGCCCATCCCCACGGAAGAACAGTGGCACATTGTTCTGCCCCTTGAAAATTCTAGGGCACCCCATGTCCAGTTTCTGTGTAACCACACTCCATTTTTCAGTTTTCAAGATAAAACACCTACCCATGTTTAACCCCCATTTTCTTTTTATGGAAAGGACTGCCCACAGCCAGGACTCTCCCTGAGTAAAGGGGCTAACCAGAATACGTAAATGAGGGCCACTACCTTCAGGGTGGATGGAGGGGGGAATCTGATTGCTGTGCTGGCAAGCCAGCTTAGGAATGTAAAAGTTGGGAAAAAAAATGCTACTGCTAACCCTGGGGTACCCAGCTTGCAGGGCAGGACCACCCCCACCTCGGGGCCCTCCTTCGGTACTCAGCACAGAGACACAAAAAAGGGCATTTCCTCAAGAGACTCACTGCCTCTGGAAATGCGGTGCAACTCTGACAACGTCCTGGGTTGGCTGCTTTAATCTTGGTAAGAAGTTTACAGATTCTTGTCTCCACGAACTCACTCCGTTGTGACTTTTCAGGTGAACTTTCCTTACGGGCTCAGCCTACTTGGGGAATGAAATGCTGAGAATTACCTAACATAACCTACACATATCTTAGCAATAATAGTATTTCCGGCCTAAGCGATGAAATTAACTCAGTTAAATGAGTTTTCCGTCATGCAAGGCGTACTGGCTAAACTGCTGTAGAACAGACTTCACAGTGTTGATTAAATGTAACGAACTTCTCTCTCTCTCATGAGTCTTACAGGGATTTGTTCTCCACTTCCCTGATACAACTTCGGATGGGGAAGGTGGGGTGGGTGGCAATACTGGATGTCTGACATCAAATCTAAGCCATCCTCGTTGCTGGAACATACTGACAGACTTCTCCCCACACAAGAACAAGGAGAACGGGGAGGAGCATGAGGAATTTGCCAGCCAGGTTATCACTAAGCTCGAAGCCTTGGGACTTCGCTTTCCACGATCTACCACGACAGAACTGGAGAAAAACACCCCCAAACTCTACGTACAAAGAATTGCTGATGTCAGTGAAGCCATAGCAAACCAAAGAAGAAAGATGCACCTGACTTGTAATGGTTCAAACCTAAACTATTCCCGGCAATGCCCTACCCCACCCCACTTCCTTGCCACAATGCTCTTCTCTTATTAAGGTTCAGAAGAAAGGTCAGGCAGAATTGCTAACTGGTTCTGCTTCATATTTTCTCTGGCCCACTGTCTGAACCACTTCTGCAGGAGCTCCCAAGCAGCACCCCGCCCCGCTTTGTTCCCTGTTCTCCTTAGTTACTGATTTTACTTGGTTGCTAGTCAAAGCCTTTGGGATGTTTGGAACTTGCACCCATTGCAAATGGCAGTCCCCTCCCCTGTACAGCGGCTGAAGAGGCAAAGAAGATTATCCAGAGGAGCAGTGAGGCATCAGGGTCCTCAGAACCACCTGGGCTTCTGCCGAGTCTCTCACTGCTGCCAGGACACTCCCCGGCTCGGCCCAGGAGAACCGGGCGCCTGCCCCACCAGCTGGAATGAGGGCTATTTCTTGTGCTCATCCACTAACCTGGCACATTTGGTGTCAGGAGCAGAAGCTTCTGATCAGAGAATGCAGCCATGAGGTATTTTTTTTTTCTCTTTGTCCATTTCAAGCCTAGTTACCAGGTCTCCAGGAGCAGCACAATTTTGTTCCTACCTCTCCCTTCCCGTCCCCTCCCCACCCCGGGACCCTCGCGGTTCCCTCGTCCTCACACCCCCGTGCTGTGCCACTGTTCTCCTGATAAGGGGCCATCAGGCAGCTCTTCCTGGGCCTCGGGGCCCTTCTCAAAGTGGGCTGCCGCCATGCGGACAGACATCTGTTCCTTCTGTTGTTTCGTTTTCAGCCAACACTCGAACAGAGAGAGAAGCCAGGATCAACTCACAAACAGATACAAAGCAAAGAGACAGAGAGACAGCGATTTAGAGGCCGGTCACCAGAAAGATGGCGTCAGGGTGGGAGAATGCCCCAGATGGCAAGGCCCCTAAATGGATGGAACCAAGTGTTCAGTCACTCTCTCACGCTTGGGTAGAATGTTCGGTTGGATGGCGTTCACGCGGACACTGGATTGGGGAGACACTCTCCGCTCAGTCCCAGCCATTGTCCTTGATCATGTGTGCTAGCTCAATGATGTATTTGCCTTCTTTATATTTCTGGCTGCTTTCAAAGGCATGTTCCTAGGAAACACAAAGGAAGAGAAAAGACACCAGGTGACTGCTGGAGCAAAGGTGGGGCCAATGACAGGCATCAGGACCACTGACGCCTGGCCCCAGCTCCACACAGATGCCCTGAGAGAATTCCCACCACTCAAGCACGCTATGTCCCCTTCGCTTAACTACAGCACTGAGGCAATGCCAGGACTTCCACAACATTTACAAGAGAATTTAAATATTTTTAAATTTAAATATTCTAAATTTAAACAGACATGATTTAAATATTCTAAATATTTTCTCAGTATTTGCAATCGGGTTTTTTCAGGATCTTTGCTCATTCGCTTCTTTGCCCAAACATCACCATCTCAGTCAGCTCTTTCCCAACGACTTTACTGAAAATCACCACTTTCCCTGCAGCAATCCTTCCCTGTATCTCCGTCTTGTCCTGCTTTATTTTCCTCCCCAGCACTTGTCACGTTCAAACATGCAGTATAACGTGCATACCTATTTTGTGTATTGTCTGCCTCCCACTGCCTCAATATAAACTTCATGGAAGGCAGAGATTTTCATGTTTTGTTCACTGATATATCCTTAGTGCCTAGAAACCGCTTGGCACATAACAGATCTTTAATAATAAATGCTAAATGAATGAATGAATAGATTATAATATTTATACATATAAATAAAATCTCAGGGGCACTTGGTTGCTGATGCTAACCAGAAATCTGCCCTATGGCTGTATCCACCAAGTTCCCTGTCATTATTTTAAACTGGGCTTTGTTAGGCTTAGAGAAGACATGCAGGGAGAGAAACAAAGTATACTGTGAGGCCAAACATGGGTCTCTTTTCCATTTCTTATCTTGCTATTTCCACGTCAGAAGTGTTAACTTTGTTTTTCCCTCACTGCCTTTCTCCAGGGAGACAGGAGCTGCGAGAACTCCAGGCGGAAGAACCTGGCCGCCCTCGAGCCCTACGCAGCTGCCAGGCTTCCAGAGGGAAAACCCAATACAAACCAGCTGGGAGGTTATCATCTGAAACTTTCAGCACTGCAGGCTCTCCCAGCTAATAAGCCCCACAGAAAGAAGTCCCACATAAGTGTAAGATTAAGGTGATATTCTATTTGCACACATAGACACATAAAACATCCTGGTGCATCATCTGAAAAACACTGGGCTTCAGAGAGCCATCAGATGGCGATGCCCGATGTGCAGAGCAGTGGACCTCAGCTCTCCCTCCTGAGTCCCACAAATTAGGAGGCAGCTAAATCCTACTGTCAGTAGGTTCTGGGCAGCATTTACATGAACTGTATCTCCTATTCTAGAGTTCAGGGATTCTAGGTCTCAGAATGAGAGTTCAGACTGGAGTCTCTTGTTAACAGAGGACCATTCCACAGAGTGGAGAGCGGAGGGGCACCGAGAGAAAGTGCAAACACCACACACATACAGGAGTTGCGGGCTCAGCAGTAATTTCCCTGACACCTCATTATCCCCCAGCTCCGTCTGTGTGTGTGCGTGTGATATGTACACAACAAAGGAATGTGGTTTGGGAATAAGATCTATTGTTCCACAGTAGTGTGTTTGTGGGGAAGCGGGTGGGGGGAGGAAAAAACAAAACTAAAGGAAAGTGACAGTGGGCCCCTATTAAACAAACAAAAAAACTCAAAACAAAAATAAAAACAAAAGAAAGAGAAGAAAAAAGAAAGAAAAAAAAAAAGGAAAAAAATTCAACACTCCCCAAGCACAGGGCACTTGCAAAATGTCAAGCTGGCAAGGTCCCAAGTCTGCCCAGAAAGCTCAGAAGGCAGGATGAATATTATCCCCAATACCTGCCACCCCAGTTTTAATCAGCGGTGGAAGAATGGACTCAAAACTGTTTGTCTCAATTGGCCATTTAAGTTTAACAGTAAAAGACTGGTTAATGATAACAACACATTGTAAAACCTTTCAGAAGGAATGGAGACTATTCCGTGGACCATTTGTTTTTGTGGGGGGGGCAGCTTTAAGTTATTAGTTTTTAAAATCAGTATCTAATGGAAACAACTTGACCAAAAATCTGTCACAGAATTGAGACCCATTAAAATAAAGTTTAATGACAAAAAAAAAAAAAAAAAAAAAAAAAAAAAAAAACTCTGTCGAAGAAGTGAATCCTTATGCCTGAAGTTAAGTAGCAAAACCAACCAACTGAGATTATCTTCTGTCTGGAATCCAGCACATCCTCAAGGAATAAGATAACTAAGAAGTTGGGAAATAAAGGGGCAGAACATTTCTGGACAATCAAAGCCAGAACTGTGGCCCCCAGATCACACAGAGGGGGCTAGTGGTCTTAGACGGGGAGCAGAATGGCCAAGGTCAGTTTCTCCCATAGGAAGCTGTAGCTGAACCTTCCTGGCATCATGAAATACAACGTCCAGGTTTTTTCGTTGTCATTCTGAACATTTCAAGGAAGACATGAAAGATGGAAACTAAAGGCAGTGCTGCTCCACTGCAGACTCTAGCTGCAGCAGTTCTTAAGATTTTTTACTTTAATCTTTTTTTAAGAGTTTCGCATTTTTGAACTTTATTTAAATGGAATCATACTTCTATGTTTGGCTTCTTTTGCTCAACATCTTTTTTCACATAGACTCGTATTTTTACAGCAGTTTTAGAGTCCTAGCAAGAAGGAGCAGAAGGCACAGAGCTTTCCCCTGTGCTCTCTGCTCCCACAAAGGCACAATCTCCTCTCCTCTCAAAGCCCTGCAGAGTGGTGCATTTGTTACAAGCAACAGACGGACACTGACGCATCGTTAGGGCTCTGCAGGGGGTTATGACTACTCCTTCAGGCCAAGCTGGCTAATGACAGGTCCCATGAGCCATCCCCCACACTGACCCTCTGCAACTGACAGGATGGGGCACTTGAGGCATTTTATGTATAAACTGCCCTCCCAGAGATAGGAAGATTCTTTCTTTCTTTCTTTTTTTGTTAAATCCCCACAATGACAGAGAGGGCAAAGAAAAGCACTGTGAAGAGATAAAAGCGGCAACAACAATGATGCAGGTTGACTTTCATTGAACCCAGACAACTCCTCTCACCCTGGCAAAGGAGTGCTCACTCTCCTAGGTACCCAGAAGATGTTAAAAATATCTGTTGAGTTAAACAATGAATGTGTAGTTGGGAAAGTCCAGCCATGACTTTATCTGACAGCAGACATTAATTCACATAATGTCTGATGATGCCTAGCACAGGGCTGGACCTATGCGAAGTGCTGGGGACACTAACTGGAGCATCAAAGAACATGCGCTCTGTAGTCAGAATGAGGCGGGAAGCCCCATAAAAAGACCGGCAGGACCCCCAAGCAAGGCCACTACTCTTGCAGGCACCATCTGGTTCCCTGGCCCAGAGGCTCTATCTCACTTTTTGCCTCTGAAATGGCTTACTTACCGCTAAAATTCTATTCGTTCCGAGCTCACTTCTGATTGGTCATTTCCTTCACTCCTGATTGGTTATTACTCTCATTTCTGATTGGTCCACTTCCCTAACTTCTGATTGGTCCATTTGTAGTACTTCATTTGCACAGAGTGCACTCCTGATTGGTTATTTCTCTCACTCCTGATTGGTCTATTTCTACAAAGCTTGTTCCTGGTTGGTCAACTTCTGTTATATTTTATTTGCCTCTGATGTTGCAAAGTGTAAAACTGGCAGCCTATAAAGGCCTGTGTAAACCTACAGACAGGGTCCAGAGTTTGGAGTGTTAACTCCTCTGAGCCTGCTGGAGTAATAAACCTGAGTTCTCCAACTCTCCGAGTGCTGCTTGGTCTCTCGCCAGGATCCAGGTTGCTGTCACAACTGAACTTCAACACCGAGCTGTAACACATTTTTCCACAAGACCCCCTAATCTGGACTCCTATCCCAGTCTGGCCATGTAATGGCTAGATAACACCGGACATACTGTCGACCTCCCTAAGCCTCCGTTTCCTCAATCATAAAACAGGGATTAAAATACCATATACCCTCTAGGGAGTCTGTGAAGAGTAAATAAAATAATGTATGCCTGGAACACAGTAAGCTGTCAGGAAATGTTATGCCCTACTATTATTATTTCTAATCAAATCGGGAAGTTTGTCTGTGTGTGTGAGTCAGGAGTGTGTCAGGAGTGTGTCAGGAGCAGTGGAAAGAATGAGTAGGAGGGGTGGACTGTCAGTGAAAAGGGAACGAGTGTGATAAACAAGAGTATGCCAGGAACTGCTCTTTGAGCTCAGTTTCCCATCTAGTCAAAGATAATCCCACAAGGCCACAGGAAGCAAGTAGAAGAAAGCATTCTTTCAGTGCAGGGCTCTTGGCTGATTCCTTCAGGGCCCCCTCTCCACCAGCCAGACTCCCCAGTACTTACGTATTTCCAGCCCAGAGTGGTTTTGCAGTTTTCACAGTAGATGTCTGCGACGGCGTGCAGTCCTGTTAGCAACACACGCTCTTCCGCAGGTCCACAGCCCACGTTAACTCTGTACCAAGGGACAGGGAGAGAGCGCAAGGGGTCAGGCACATGCTCGTCGTCAGTTGTTCAAGCTGAACTTCCAGCACAAAATTAACTGAGTACAGCTGCCCGAAGGGAAGCCAACATGAAGAGCATTGTCTCTAACTGAAACCAGTGACAACCCCCTAAAGGTAGTCACATGGAAACATCTCCACTGAGATGAATTTCAGATCTGCAAGTTCTGGTGCAACATGTCTACTAAAAATAGTCTTCATAGTTGATCCTGCAAATGCATCACAAATGCTTCTAGTCTGATGATGAGGGGACAAACAGACAACCACGCTGGTCCACAGCCACAAGCACAGGTCCTCGGAGCTTCCTGAGGACTGAGTGCGGCCAGAGGCAACAATCACGATGGCACAGTCTTGTCCTGGTCACAAGGATAATTGAGCCCCGGCTATCAAACATACTAGACTCCTTCACAGAGCACCCGCTATCTCAAGCTGAACATGCTAGATTTCCACTTTCACAATCTGTCAGGCTTGCCTTCCAGGAGCAGGCTGTAAATGATGTTCCCAGCGATGACTGAGGGCTGCGAAGGACTGTGTGTCTCCAGGAGGGGATGGGGGCTCTTCACTGGCTTCACCTCGCTAAGGCTCCCCCCAGACTCAGCCCCTCAGCAGATCCCCGTGTCTTCTGTTTGCCCTCCTTTTCTCCCTCAGTGACATCTCTTAGATCTAGTTTTGAGACGTCCGTGTTGAGGTTCAGCTTTTCCCTGTGAGACTACAGCCCTCTGATGTGCCTACCAGGGGTAGCAGATACACGATTTTTAGCCAAAGATGCTGCCAAAAAATACTCCCCAAGAATGGCTGGCTACCAATTGTGGTGAGTAATGCCCCATGGGGTTTTCTGTGTGTGTGTGTGCGCGCGTGTGTGTGTGGCAGAGAGGACAGGGTCCACTGTTTAATTGTCATTGAGTATTGTTTTTTCCCCACCCCTCAAAAATTTGAACTGAACAATGAATATACCATTCAGAGATACTCACACTGAGTTAAAGAGGTATGCTCGTCCTTGACTTCCTTGGAACGACTGAAATGCAAGAAAACAAAACAATAGTTAGAGATCCATTTTTCCCACCCATTTGGGAAACCAGCCCCAAATCACAACAGTCATGACCTTGCTGGATTGACACGGCAAAAAGGGAGCAGTGAGCCAGTTAACAGTCCAGCTGGCAGAAGGAATGGCGGGAAGAGAGGGCAGCATAAATGGATCTACAGAGCCCAGGCCAGCCCACACCTGGACTCTCTTCACCAACCCAGGTAAGAAGATATAATTAATGCACATGGGTCTTTCCTGGATCCACTTATTTTCCGCCAGCTGTGCTGGCCACAGCTTTCCTTGGGTTGGCTAAGGCATGGAAACCAGCACAGGCATCTTTGCTTGCTCAATTGGTCCAACCCTGCAGAAGACAGCAAAGAATCCCCCAGGCAAAAATAAATGAACAAGCCCACACTTTTCACTGGTCTTGCTTCTTGTAGGTCTTAAATGCCATGACAGTTACAATCTCCTAAATGGGAGCAAGAGAGCGCTCACTTGATCTCCAGATCACAGGAATGCTCGTTAATAAACAGCAAACCCATTTTAACTTCTGGCTTAAAAATGAGCTTTCTTCTGGCGGGAGGATGGCAGGGAGCAAGAGCCAGAGACGGCCATGCAGTCTGGCGTCACAACGTCTACTTCCATTAACACAGGCCCTAGTCGTGTTCTCCTCCTCTGGTTACACTGAAACGTCTGGCTGACATGAGCCAGCCATGTCCTGCATCGCTGCTGCATTTTTAATGTGGTCTGACAACTGTACCCTGAATTAAACATCCTAGTCTGCTCTGAAAAACCACTCTAAAAATAAACAAACAGACCAAGGACTCTCTCATGACCTCTGTTATTCAGAGGCTGGAGAAATCCAGGGGTGACTGGTTAACAGATGACCAAAGGGTAGGAGCGAACCGGACAGGACACAGATCACTGCACACTAGACAGTCATTGTCAGAAGCACAGGACTTTAGGGACTGGTGCCGCCAACTAGAGAGAAAGGCGAAATTCTTGACTTGTGAAAAAACTGCCTTTGGGGCAGCTGGATTCCTGGTTGCCTCCAAACATACAAATGCACCAGAAGACTTTGGTCCTAGGTGCAGCTCCAAGGAGCAAGCAGATGTCCCCCAGCTGCTGCTCAGGCCCTGGACCAGCGTCCTTTCCTTTGGGTCTTAAAACATCCCTGGGGAGCATAAGGGCTCCAGACTAGAACTGAGTATGGATGGATGTGAGTGTCTCAAAACCTGGAACCTGGAAGTCCATGCCAAGTGTTTGGATGAGACAGTGGCCCAGTAATACAGACCACAGATGTGGTCAATCTGTTAGTTCACCTCTGGGCCACACGTCACCCAAGCATGGCCAGGACAGCAAAAGCTTCATGATCTGGCCCCATCCACCCCTGCGGCCTCTTCTCTTGCTACTTTCCCACTGCGTCCTTTGCTCTAGTCAGGCTGAACCATATGCAATTCCTGGAACGTACATTTCACCAGCTTTGCCCACAATCTTCTCTCAGATGGGGAGGCTCTTCCACCTGACTGATCCTAAGCCCGGGCTCAGCCTCCTCTCTTTGGTAAGGCCTTCTCCAACCTCCCCAGGAAAAGGCATCCACTGGCACCCATGTACTGGATGCCTCTTGCTCCCAGTCTGTTCCTTTCCCTTAGCTCTTGATATACTAGATTTAAACTGTCTAGTTATTTGTCTAACTCTCTCACCACACTGTGAGCTCCCGGGAGGCATGAACCATGTCTTCTGTCTCTCTCTGAACCCCCGGGGCACATAGCATGAATGTGGCATACAGTAGGTTATTTATTAAATTATTTATTTCATGAGTCAATTGCCTCTAACTTCCTTTTTTTCTTTAAATGGCTTTACTAGTATATAACTGACATATAATAATAAACCGTGCATATTTAAAGTGTGCTATTTGATGAATCTTATTATCTGCATACCTGTGAAACCATTACCACAACCAAGATTACAGACTGTCACACCCAAAGTTTCTTCAAGCTCCTCTTAATCCAGCTTTCCCTTCCCTCCTCACCCCCCTTCCCACTCATCCACAGGCAGCCACTGCCTACTGTCACTAGAGTCTGTATTTCCTATAATTTTAAATAAATGAAGTCATAAAGTATGTAGTGTTTTTTTGGTCTGGCTTTTTTCAAGCAGCATAATTCTTTTAAGATTCATCCATGTTGTTGGATATATCAATAGTTCATTCTCTTTTTACTGCTGAGTATATTCCTGTCTATAAATTTACCACAGTTCATTTATTTTTGGCTTAATTTTACTAAGGGATTTGGACTAGTTGACCTCCAAGTTCCCTTCCAGCTCCAAACTTATATTCTCGTATAATTCCAAGGTCCTACACTATGGATAATCAAGAGTATCATTTGTCAAGACCTTCAAGTTAGAGCTTAGAAGAAGGTGGTTATGGGAAAACAAATTCTAGAAGAAAGCAGACTGGAAAAGATAAGATAATTCATAATTCATAAGATAATACGTATTACAAAAAAGATACGTTATAGACTGGAAGAAGATAAAAGACAAAAGATTTGTATCTAAAATATATAAAATGCAAATAAGAAAACAAATTCAATAATAAAACAAAAAATCTAATTTTAAAATGGGTAAAAGGTCTGAACATATGTCACCAAAGACAAACAGATGGAAAACAGGCACATGAAAAGATACTCAACATCACTAGTCATTAGGGGAATGCAAACTAAAAACATAATTGAGGTATCACTATCACTACACACCTATTAGAATGGTCAAAAAAAGTTTTTTAACTGACAAAAAAAAATGTTGTCAAGAACGTGTAACAACTGGAACTCAGACACTGAAAAATGGCACAGCCATTTGAACAAGAGCTTGGTGGTTTCAATTACCCAACGGTGAAAACCTATGTTCTCTGTATGGGAATGTTTTCAGCAGCTTTATTCATAATCGTCCAAAACTGGAAACAAGTATCGTGAATGGTTAAGCAAATCAGTACGTCCACATAATAATGCTTTGTAACAAAAAAGGAACCGACTACTGATACAAGTAACGTCGTGGAAAAATCTGAAATGCATTAGGCTAAGATCAGTGGTTGCCAAAGGTGACGGTAAGGGGAGAGGTTTGACTCCAAGGGATAACAGGTGAGATGGAACTTTTATCTCAATTTATGTAGTGCGTAAGACTATGCATTTGTCAAAACTCAGAGGATTTTTTAATTTTAAATTTTACATACAGTAAAATTTACTCATACTGGTGAAATCCAATAAAAGTTTAAAAATCACCAGCCATCTCTAAAATTGCCTGTATCTCTGTACACTGTACTCCTGTATTTGTACAATTAGGAATTGTAAGATTTCCTGACCTATTTAAAGGTATTCCAAACAGAGTTTCAGAGAGGTCTGAAGCCTTGTCAAAAGACACTTTTATGAAAAGTTTGCAAGAACAACTGCAAAGTTCAGCAAAATCCTTTCTGTAATTGGTGGATGGGTTTGAAAATGGGGATCATGATTTTTGTAAGCTCAAAGATGCAAACGTTCCATTTGAAACTACCTTCTTTATAAGGAAGTTTTCAGCAAGAACAACTGTTAAGATGAAGCACTGAAGTGCACTCTCCTTAGGACACACCTCTGAATTACTGAATCAGAAAGTGATAAACCAAGATACGTTTTAAAAGATCATATTCAATCACATATACTTTTAATAAAATAAGATTAGAAACAAATGTACAATTGTTTTATTCTTTCTTCTAGCCTTCTACATTACATAAACTATAAATAAAAACTTCAGATACACGTTTATAGTGTGCATATTACATGGTGACAGATGTGTATCATTTATAAGTAAGCAGACATAAGGGCATATTAGGAATATATGCTCGAGCATTTTACTAATAGGAGCCTATGATCTTAAACGTTTGGAGGTCACTGCCCTGGGGGTTCCGATCTGTTTCAGGGCAGGGCCTTGGAGGACCTTCGTCTAGCCTGACACAGATTAGAATTCCTAGAGAGTCGGGTGGGGGAGGGCACACGGCAGAGAAGAGGAACGCCAGCCAGGCCCAGAGGCGCCTCGTGAGGCCACCACGGTTCCTCCAGGCCTGTTCCGCAAGAGCGTGCTGGCAGAGGCCCACACTCCGCAGAGGGTGCCGAACCCAAACAGGGCTACCTTGGTGGCAGTACCTATTCAGGTACCCCCTGAGCGACAGCATCCGTGAACGCATCTCCTCAGCCTGGCCCTCAGGACCAGCTGCACTCCCGGGGGGGCAGGACTCTGGAAGCTTTGCCACCATGGCTTCCATGCTGGGCCCCTGCCAAGCCAACATTTATGATGAGAAAAACATTCACTGAGAACAACAGGCATCTTACAAATAGACACAGACAAGAATAGCCCGGCTGGGGCGCTGTATCCTGTGGGGCCCGGCCCAGCCTGGCGCGAGCAGGCACGGCCTGGCACTCCCTCGGGTGAGGGTGGTACCGAAGGTGGGGAGACTGAGAGGAAGTGAAGGAAGCAATCAGAATGAAGCAAACAGAATTTCAGACCAGGAGATCCCAAACAGACGGTCAGACACATTTGTTTGCTGTCACTACTGCCAGGCAACAAGGCAGCTCTTCACCATGTTGTGTATCAACCAAGGCTGGTGTTCAGGACTCCAGGAAGGGTTTTCTTGTTTTTGTTTTGCTTTTTTTTAATTACACAAAACTTTTCATCTGTCCTTTAAAGGAAAGTAATAATTCCAGGCCCAGCCCTTCCAGCCAGCTCAAAGGAACGGAAAGGGCTTTGAGTTTCCTGTTTAGTAGCCAAAACCACTGATTTCTGGCCCCTTTGAAGGTCTGGAAGGCAGCATTTTTTTCTTAAAGTAGGAGGACCACTGAAAAACGAGTATTTGTTGGGGAGGCGTCAACAGAGCAAACATGTGGGCTCCTCCTTCACTCAGACTCAAGCATGAAGTACTCCTGGCACGAAGCAGACCCTCTCAAGCCCCTGTCGCTGGGAAGGTGAATCAT